GCTAAAAAGACACCAGAGCCTGTTTTAGATATTGTTACTATGCAAGGACAAGTACTAGAAGTGGTTACCTGTTATAAATACCTTGGTATCTGGCTTGATGATTGCCTCTCTTTTAAACTTCAGGTCAATAACCTGCTTAAAAAGCTGAGGGTTAGACTAGGTTTCTTCTACAGGAACAAGTCCTGTTTCTCGCTCGAGGCCAGGAAAAGGCTCTGTGACCTTTTGACCTGTGCTGGACTATGGTGATCTGGTCTATATGAATGCACCTGCCCATTGCCTGGACAAGTTAGATGCCGCCTATCACAGCGCACTGAGATTTGTCACAAACTGTAAAGCACTTACTCATCACTGTACCCTGTATGCCAAGGCAGGTCTGCCATCACTTACTGTACGGAGGCTCAGTCATTGGTACACGTTTATTTATAAAGCTTTGTTGGGTAAACTCCCGTATTCTATCTGCTCTCTGATCACACAGAGAGTTGCAAGCAGCTATTGTCTGAGATCGCATGATGTAGTGTTGTTAGATGTGCCAAGAGCAAGGACTGTCTTAGGTGAGACAGCTTTTATGTGCGCAGCTCCACTTGCTTGGAACAATCTACAGCAAGAATTGAAACTGAGCAATCTCATTCCTCTGCATGTTTTTAAAGCTAGGCTAAATGAAATGCTCGTTGATACTATGGATACTTGTATATGTCTATAAGTATGTAAATGTATCCTGTAAATATAATGTATGATGTCCTTTATTGTTTAATGTTTCATGTGGAACCTATATGCTGCAGGTCTCCCTTGAAAAAGAGATCTATGATCTCAATGGGACCATCTGGTTAAATAAAGGTTTGAAATGAAATGAAATGAAATAAGCATATTTTGCCTTGATTTCATCTTAGTAAGATTTCAGTTTTTGCAGTGGGCTCCTATCAAAAAAATGAGCAGACCGTGAGCATCAGGGAACCCCAATGAACTGATATATGTTTTTTTGGGGGGTTTTGTGTGTAAAATGTGAAGATGGGAGCAGTTTGTCTAAAGTGTACTTCTCTCTGCTATGAAGAAAGATCCGGAAAGATTTAACATGGGAATCAATTGGGAGCTAGGTGGACTTTTTGTCTCTTCATGCCCTCAAGAGGCATTTTGTTTAATATTTTTTCTTCATTTTTTTTTATTTTCCAACCTAGGAGAGGTTTTCCTACGTTTTTCATGAAAAAATATGTCTGAGGAGTGTAGGGTTTGGGAATTATGGCAAGTTTAAAACATCTTTGAATAGCTGAAGGTCTTGTGATCATTTGAAAGTTGGAATGAAGTGTCTAGCTGAAAGTATGTGGAAGGAGTAGCATTTGGCGCAAGGTGTAGGAAAAGAGGATTTGAAGGCATCTCCCATTGACTTCCATGTTAAAAAAAGAGTTTGCATGAAGAGCTGAATATTTCAAAAAGTATTACATATTTTTAAAAAGTTGAAGGTGTCCCATCGATTCCTGAAAAGGCTGAATAGTTTAATATTTGAATGGTTTCTGTAGCTGAAAATAAGCTGAAGTTATGGAGAGCCAAAGTATTGGCTGAAATAATAAGGGGAAGAATAAAGAATTGTAGCACAGCATTCACATTCATGAACAGTTTAATCTCCACTGTACATCCGGGTCTCTGATTTGATTTAGTTCCAATACATCGTAATATTGTAACCTTTTTTTTTGTACGGTGGTCCCTGGTCAATGAAGGGGGCACTGGCCCCTGTTGCTCCCCCTAGAACCGCCCCTGGGTCCAAGGAAGGAAAAACAGTGACCAAGCGACAGGGGAGGCCGAGGCTCAGTGATGGGGAGCGAAGGCTGGCCCGTGTTTAACAACCAGACTATTTATTTTTCTCAAAGGTTTCGTGTCTGTTTTTGTTGCTATTTAAAGCACAGAACAGAATTGAACATCGTGTGTTTTTTTCACCTTTTTCTGGAGCGACGAAATTTTACCGGGACTAAAAATAGATGTGTGGAAGAAAACCCGTAGTGGAATTTTAAGTTGGATTATTGTTTGGGGACTGTGGGGTTTTGGGGCAAGATTATCAATGGTCATTCAATGTGTAGGGTGTACATTCTGATGTGTGTGCATACCTTTGTGATGGTTGATTTAAACATTTAAATAGAAAAATCCTATTGAAACGAAAATGCCAGGAGAGAGACTTGGCTGCACCCCTAAATAAATAAATAAAAATCTAACTGTCACAATGTGGATGTTACTTTGACTCGTACCACCTCCCTAATCTTTGTGACAGACCCTCTTCCAGCAGGATAATGACACACTGCAGAGATGTTGACCTGCCCTCCAAATTCTGTATTTGTAACTCTGATTCAGAACTCATACAAACTGTGATAGGAGAAGTATTTCTGCATTCATCAGCATCTGAACAGGGACGCTGCAGATAAGAGTGGACTAACACTAAGTACACACTCGAGGTAAATAGAGAGGTCGCAGCGTTACACAAGTAGTGAAGAAGCAGCCTGTGTAAGAGGAGGTGTTATCATACAACACGAGTCCCTTTATTCACTTAGAACAGGGGGGTTCAATCTGTTTTCACCGAGGGCCACATACTACTAGAGGTTTATCGCCTCATAAATTCAGTTATAAATGAGCAAAATCAATCAAATGTAGGTAAATGATGCTTGTGAGTGTTGGCAGCTCATTCCTTAAAACAGGAGCCTCAGATTGATTATAATAAGGAGAAATAGAGAGGTGCAGGAATGAGTCCTAAAACCAGGAAGTGAGTCAGCATTTCACCACTTCCTGTTCCCTGGTCTCAGAGCCAATGGGATCTCTCCATAGGATTTAGGAAAATATCTGTAAATAAGGTCTGTGGTTGAGACACGTTGAAGAGACGGATCACGTTTTGTTCTAGGACATTAAATCCATCAGCAGTGACCCCACTGGTGATTTCTGAAGAGTTGACGTGTCTGAAAAACGATGGTTGTTACCAAGTGGCTGAATAGGACTACAGAAGTCGTGGAGGACGTTGTACGTCATTACGCCGAACACGTAAACACTCCTCTAAGTTAGTTTGCCCTGTTCTGCTTGAAAGCAAGTACCTGCCTCCTGCAAAGTGTTCAAACAAACGCTTCAACTCGTTCCATTTAGAATCTGTGTGTTTGAATATGGATCTGCAGTTGGCGTGACGTTGAAGTCGTGCTGCTGGACTCGGCTGTAGTTCCTTTATAGCATCACGTTAGCATTTAGCTTCTGGACATTAGATTTATGATTAGAACATTATAAAAGTAGGGTAGACATGTGGAGATGATCCGGCTGAACAAAACGTGCATTTATCAAACAGGTTCCTTTTCCACAGACCTGATTTCCAGCTATTTTCCTAAACCCTCTGGAGAAATCCCGTTGCTTTTTAGTGGAGGGAACCAGCAGCTTCCTTCAGGGTGAACACGTCCTCCCTGCACCGCTCTATACGATGGGTTTATTTCAAACTTGTTATGGAAATAAGTAATTGGGCTTTTTTCTTATCAACTAAGACATGTTAGAAAATGTTTCCAACTTTAATCGACTACATTTATTTGAAAAGTGGTCTCATTAACACATGAACACTACTGAGTAATGTATATTTACATTCATATTTAAGGAGTACAATATAAGACAAGCACAAGTTTCATTTGTGGGCCATATCATACTTTTTGAATTAGATGAGGAGGGCCGATTCAAAATGGTCGGCGGGCCGCATTTGGCCCCCGGGCCGTAGTTTGGACACCCCTGACTTAGAAATACATTCATAAGACACCGTAGAGATATTCAAATGGGACACTCTGATCTGAAGCTTTCAATAGTATTTAAAATATATATTGATAATAACAGGATCACAAAACATCCGCTAACCAGTCTTTTCTAAAATAGCTGAGATAAACACACAGTACAGTATATGACCAATGGAAACACAACGGTTCCAGTTAAAAGCATTTCTGATGGTTTCCCAGTCCTTCATGTAAAGGAATATAATAACATCTGCTGCCTTGTAACGACTCGGATAAAGCTCTAAAGGGTTTATCATCAGACGCACTGAAGACATGAGAATCTGAAGAGCCAGGCTCCTGCAACAATACAACATGAACATATATCAGACACAAAACTAATAAACAAACAGTAAAAACAAATACACAATAAAAATAGTGCCTCTGGTTTTAGTTTGTAATCTCTCTCTCTCTTAATGTCCTGTTGTGTGCACACCTGGTCCTGAGGTGAGAGCTCTTCAGGGTGCAGGACGTCACACTGCACGCTCACCCTGTGTTCCTGAGATCCTCTCGACCAATCAACAGGGCCTCCACGGCCCGCTGACCACCTCCTGAGATCCTCTCGACCAATCACAGGGCTCCACGGCCCGCTGACCACCTCCTGAGAGCTGCTTCAGGTGTCCTGGTTCCACTGAGACACACAGAAGAGGAGGATGAAGAGGAGGAGGAGGAGGAAGAGGAGGAGTATGAAGGTGCTGACTCAGCAGGTTGCAGGTTTATAAAGAGGCAGTGCTGCTCCTCTGTCTCCACGTGTAACATGGCGAGGACTGCTGAGCATCACCTGCATCCTGATCAGCTGCTGCTGCCTGATAGAGAGCCGAGCCTCAGGTACACCTGTCTGGTCTGGTCTGTCTGTCTTGTCTGTCTGTCTGTCTTGTCTGTCTGTCTGTCTATCTCTGTCTGTCTGTCTCTCTCTCTA